ATATTCTACATTGTTGACACCTTCCTGTTCATCTCTATCTCCATAGCTTACCCCTCTTAGGGTAACACAAGTGTCTCCCGTACAACTAAAACAGCCAGGCTAAATCAACCATGCTTAGATGTGGCGAGAGCCAAGTCATACTAAGGCTGATGTAAGGGAAGCAGAGAGATTAATTCTTGGAAATGTTGACAACTGGTCACATCCATGAGCAAAAGCCCTCTGCCCCCATGATTTATCTGCAGAGTGAAGTTCACTGTTAAGTAGTGATGGAAATTAAAGAGGCAGCTTTAGGACCTCCACACTGACCCAGAATGGAAATCATTTAGCAGTGTACAAATGGCAGAGTTGCCATAAAGATCAAATGAGATAATGATATGTGGAGGCACTTTGTAAACCCCAGGGCCATTTCTTAAATGTGCAGCTGTATTATTATTGCTATCACCATTCATTTGCATGATCCGGACAAATCATTTTCCTATTCCACCACCATTAAAGTGGGTATTTGTTTATAAGGTACTGCAGCAGAGCTGAGGAGAGGAGAGGATTCAATATTCATTGAATAGTCTGCCTAGTCCTTAGTCCCTGCAATGGCTTTTCAAAGTAAAAATTACCTCTTTTTTTAAAAAAAGATTTATTTATTTATGCATATAAGAACTGGGGTACAGGCCAGAGGTGGGGGTGGTGAGAGGATTCACCAGAGACAGAATGGGGAACAGAACAGGCGGATGGACTGAAATACACTGAGGGGAGCAGAGGGGAGACAGGAAGGTCTGCTGCGCCATGTGGGTCAGCTCCCTGGCGGGGAATGGAACTCATGCAGCATCGTGCTGGTGCTGCTGTGGCTACTGATAGCTTCATAAATGCTGAGACTTAACCCCTTGTGCCACCACGGAAGCCCCTGTCTTCTTCTAACTTGGCAGAAAGAAAACATTTTCTTTACCACCTTTCTCAGGACTTGCCCGCCGTCTGAGACTGTAGATGAACTAAAATGGTGCCTGAGCAAAAATATCTTTGGGGAGCCTGGGAACCTCCTTAGCTTTACTCTGTGGCCTTTCACCAGGGAGCCAGGAAAGGAGAGGCAGCTGGGCTGGAGTCTGCTTGTCACTTGCCCCTTTACAAGGGCTCTGAGTGCACTGGAGGCACTTGAGGGACCAGCAACTCAAGCTCTGGTTCAGGTTAGCCACTGTGCTCTCGGCGCAGGGTGGAATCCCCTGTAAAGTGGAAGTGTTAACACCTGTCCTGCTACTGGAAAGGGGCCCCAATCAAATGAGATAACATGCTGTGGAGGATGGCATGAACCCAGAGATGGGAAAATAGTTTGAAAACTCAAAGCATTTCCCAGCTTTAATGTAAGTTGGTTCTTTGTACTGCAGCATCCCCTCTCTGCTGGGAAGCCCTCTCCCGGGGAAAGCCGCGCTAGTAGGGGGCTCCTAACAATTACTGAGGTTTGAGAACAGCCAGAAGGCAAGCAACATGAAGTCGTTTAAAGGAAACCAGAGGAAGTCCAGTCTCTGACTATTTATTTTATGAAGTTAGCGGCTGGATATGTTAAGCAAATGTTTTCTTAATTGTGGCAGTATGAGAAAACAATGGGACAGGGCTGCCGGGGACGGGGGAGTCCAGGCCTCCGCCCCTCTACCCCCACCACCTAATCTCCCGAGAATGACAGGAAAAAATTAAAGACAGGCCTTTCTTTTCATAGTCACATGTCTGCGCTGCCGCTGTAATAAGAACCTGCACCAATTAGAAATGTTTCACCTCCACCCTCCCGCCCTCCCGGGCACTCCTCAGAGCTGAAGGGGTTGTGGACTCCAGGAGTTTGCCAAACACAGCAAACACTGGTGTGTGAGCGGCTGGAGGGGTCTCTTTCCACTCTGCTCTCCTGCCCCTCCTCCTCTGCTCCTTCCCCCACACTGTTTTGATTTACTAGGACTTCCTCCTCCAGGCGAGGGAGGGGGAGCAAGGACGCTGCCGCGCGCCCGGGGTGCGTGTGGGTGCGTGTGTGTGTGGAGTGTAGATGCTGTGATGGGAGGAAACCCAGCCGCGTCTGAGCGCCGGGGACTGCAGCGGCCGTTCTGAGCGCAGCGGCACCTGAGCGCCCGCCTCCAGGAGTGTGACCTGTACCTTCAGGTACGTGTGGCCGCCGGCCTGTCTGCGCCGTGTGGCTTGGGTGTGTGCGGGTAACTGGAGGGCGCGACCGTGCCCCGGCTCGGCGTCCCGGGGAGCGTGGAGTCCCGGGGGCTGAAGGCAGCGTGACCCGCGCGGGGCCGAGGGCGCGGGCCCCCGAGCGCGGGAGTGGGGTGCGCCGCCTCGCCCAAGGTCGGCGCGGGGGGCGCGGGTCCGAGGTGCCCGCGGAGAAGGTGCTGCAGGTCCGGCCCGAAGGCGCCGGCACTTGGCAGGCTGTGGGCGGCGGTCAGGGGCGGCGGGTCCCGCGCCCCCGGCCCCCCCACGCGTGTCGTGCCCACCGGGCGCGCGTGGGGAGCGTGCCGTCCTCGCGGCGGCGGGCACCCGGGCGCGCGCAAGCCCGCCGGGGCTTGTGCCTGAAGGTGTGTCCCCCCGGCGGGGCCTGGGGGTCGGGAGCGCGGTGCGGGGGGCGCGCGCGTGCGGCGTGGCCCCGCGCCAGGGCACTGGCGCCTGCTGGAGAGGCCGAGCGCGCACCAGGCCCGCGGCGGCCGGCCGCAACCCGAGCGCGTCGGCCCCGCGGGGCAGTGGCGGGCGGGGGAGGGCGAACCGGCCTCTCGGGGCGCGGAGGGCCCCGCCCCGCCCGGCTCACCTGGGCGCGGCCCCCACCTGCCGAGGGCGAGGGGCGTGGCGGGGGCGGGGCCCGGCGGGCCCGGCGGAGCCCGGCGGAGCGCGGGGCGGCGCGGGCGGCGCCTCATTCCAAGGATTCCTCGCGCTCCCGCGCTCGCGTCCGCCGCGGTGCCGGCCCGGCGCGCGCCGCCCCGTGAGCCGCTGGGTGCGCGAGGGGGCGTCGGGCGGGAGCGCGCCTGGGCGTCCGCGCGCCTCGGAGAGCGCCCCGCGCGCCAGGCGGTCCCGCCCCGCCCGCCCCCCGCCCCCCGCGGGGCCCGGCCGGCCCGAGGCGGGCGCGCCAGAGCCGCCCGGCGGTGAGTGCGGGAGACCCGGGCGGGGCGGGCCGGCGGGGCCTCGGGGCGCGCCGCCTCGGACCCGGCCTCGGGCTTCCTCCTGGAGCGAGGGGCGCTGGGTCCCGGCGGGCCGCTGGCGGCTCCGCGGGGAAGCCCGGGGACTGGGCTCGGGAGGGAGCGGGCCAGCCCCTGGAGGGGTGCCGAGTGGAATGCGCCCTGGGCCGGGGAGGGGCGCGGGCCCCGCGGTGGCGGCCGGCGGGGAGGGCCGAGCCCGGCACCTGGGGCGGCCTCTGTCCTCTGGGGGTACTTCCTGCCCCCTCCCCAAATCAGCTGCGCCCCCTTCCTGCCCCGGTGCAGGCCTCGCTGGGGACCCGAGGGCTTGTCCTTTTGTGTTGAGCCTCGGGTCTCTCTGATTCGTCTCACGGTCCTCGGAGTGTCCCGGGCCAGGGTGACAGCGCTGGCTGGGCCGGGAACTTAGTCTGTAGGCGCTCTCCCGGCACATGCTCGTCTGTTTGAGCCAGTTGATTAAAAAATCGGGCTTCACTTTGATCACTGGTGCTGTATGTTTGCTGGTTGTATTTCCTTCTCTGTGGTTAATAAGAACCAGCAGCCTGGGGGGCGGGGATGGAGGCGGCCCATCTAGCTTTTATCTGCAGCCCGCTGCCCCTCTGGAAGGTCCTCTCTCTCCTGTCGAGTGTCTTTCCAAGCTAAGCCGCCCTTGAGGAAAAAGGAGGCTCGCGTCTGCTTCCTCTGAACTCGCTGAGACGCACAATCAATGTTAATTTTCCTGTTAGTATTTGAAGGTCAGTTTTGCATACCACTTGAGCATACCAGGCTTAGCTCCACAGACTTGTAATGTTCCTTGTTTCCTGCTTGCAGCGAGAGCGCGCACAGCTGGGAGAGCAGCGGCGTGGGTAGTTGACAGAGCGCTGGGGTCATGCCCAGTTAAGGCCGAGCTGGCGGCGTGATCTTGGAACAAGGGATCTATCATCTCTAAATCTCAATGTACTAATTGTAAATAATTAAAAACACTTCTCTAGGAAGTTTGCTGTCCTGTCCTTCAGACGCTGGGTGTGTGTGTTTTGGTGCCTTTCTGTTTCATCGGCTGAAAAGTTCCCTCTCCTGTGGTAGAAATGATGTAAACCCCTCAATGTGTTGTTTAATTTTGGCACGATTTTAATTCCAGGCTGATTTCCCTTACCACCACAGTTTTTTTCACACTTCTGGGCAGCCTGCCTTTGGAAGGGAATGCAAACTAATTTTTATGTTGACCAAAACACAATACAATTAAGAAGATAATTCTGCTATAAATAGCCATGAACCACATTCCAAAACTCTGAATGTTGTAGTCAAAACAGCTCTGGTTTATTTCTGGTGACTTGAGTTCAAGTCCTACCTCTCACCCACTAAGTTGGTGACCAGAAAATTTTACCTCGACTTAAATTTTGTGTTTTATTTTCTTCTGTAAGAAGGTGATAATCTCTGTTCCAGTGTGCCACAGAGTTTCAGGGGTTACACGTGCTTTGAAAAGTATTTTGTGTTATGTTGTTTACAAAAGTCTTTGAAGATTCTAGAGTTTCATAAACACAGTCATTGCCAGTTCCCTCAACTGATTTTGAATAACTGTACCTTCCTTAAGATTTTAACCCTTCTTACAGACCTAATTATGAAACCGAAGCTTTCAAATGTTCCACTTTAGATAAAGTTCTATAATGGGAAATTCCTTTTAACTCCTTATGGAGTCTGCCTTGTTACCAGCTGCTGCTGGTTGCCAAAACAAACTTGAGGATTTTACTTTGTGTCTCTTCCAGGTATCTCTCCTGGCTGGCTTTGCTGTTGCAGCTTTTAATTTGCCTTAATAAAATAATAATTATAAAAGTAGTTTTGCAACTTTGAATATGACTTAAAATAATCAAAGTTGTATATTCAGGAGGTAAAAAGACAAGAGAAAGTGACAATGTAAAGTAGTGGGATGGTATGTCCACTGTTGGCTGAGGGGTTGCAGGTCTGAGAACCTGGTAAGGCAAAGTTTTTGTGTTCATTTGTGGTGAGGTATGTTAACTGAGGCTCATTTGTGATTGCTTTAGGGAGCCTACCTGAGTTAATGAAGTCCTTGTGGGAGCTTAACAGAAGAGCGGAGCCAATTCTGCTCATCAGTTTGTGACCTTTTTAGTGTCTGTCCACATTAAACAAAACAAAAAACAACTTAGAAAATTGGACTGCCTGATCTGAAGAGTGTAAACTGCCAAGGTAGGACAGGAAGGAGGCTGCGTGGGAGGTGCTGAAGCCATGAAAATACTTTCTACCTGGGATTCAATATAATAGCTCTTTTGCAAAGCAGGAGAGCCTTGTAGATTGTAGTAGAAAACCTTGTACCTTTCTCTGTCTCTGGCTTTGGGTGGGATAAAGACGTGCCATTGATCCGCATTGCCTGTGGATTCTGTATTTGGGAATTTGTCTGCTCATTGGAGTTTGTGGCAGCACTTTTGCCATTACCTGCAATGTGCCCAGTGTGCACATTCCCAGCTGAGGTCGAGCAAGGTAGTGAATCCGCTCTCCTACCCTCAGCAAGTACTTTCCTGTCTACTTAGTTGTTCTACATGTTGTTCTCATTTGGGGTTTTTTGGTTGGAGGTTTAACTGTTTAAAATGGCCCCCAAGCATCATACCCCAAGTGCTGTCTGTTGTTCCCAAGAGTGAGTTGGGGCTTGCGGAGAAAATACATGTGATAGATAAGATCTATCCGGCATGGACTATAGTGCCCATGGCCATGAATTCAGTATTAATGAGTCAACAATCGAGAGTAAATAAGATATATTTAAACAGAACCACTCATAAAACACAGTTTGTTTGCATCAGTTGGAGAGAATGTGGCCAGGGACTAGAAGGAGCCCTACCCTCTACCTCCCCGGGAGCAGGGGCTTGGTGTTGCCTGATTCAGTGTCCTCGGGCTTCGAGGACTCAGAGGACATAGTCACCATGAATAACTGGACTCGACTGCATCGACTGATGCCAGTAACTTGTGTTCTTCTTTTTTTTTTTTTTTTAGATTTATTTATTTATTTATACAAGCACTGGGTACAGTCAGAAGCGCGGGAGGGTGAGAGAATTCACCAGAGCCAGAGCGGGGAGCAGAGCAGGCAGACTGACAAAGTACACTGCTGAGGGGAGCAGCGGGCGGCAGGAGAGGTCTGCGCTCCATGTGGGACCCTCCTCCGGTGGCTGGGGAGCAGCCGGGGAGCGAACCGGCGTCGCAGAGGCTGCGGGCAGCTTCGCAACCCAGCGCTCAACCGCTGAGCCACCAGGGAGGCCCTAACTTGTGTTCTTCTAATGACACAATGGATCTTGGGATAGAAGACTGTCTAGGCTGTTGATAGGTTGAGAGTTGAGCTTTTGGAACAGTGGAGAGTTAGATGTGGGGAGTCTGGGAGTTTGCCAGCTTGGACTATGATGCAAATTCATGTTTCATTCTCAGGGGCAAGGGGTCCTTGAGAGGTTGAGGCACCTCAATACTTGTGAATAGGGAATTCTGAGGTATGTCCAGCAAAAACTCAAAATGAAAAAAAAAAAGGTGTCTCTGATTTTATATGCAGTGCTGTACAAGGCTGAGGTGTCGAAAATGGAGAGGCACTCACAATAGCCTAAATATAAGAAAGGTCAGTTCATTTTTATTTGACCAGTGTTGAAAAATAGTGGGAACTGGTCGTCTGCTCTGTAAATCTGGATTTGCATTTTATTCTTCCTCCTTGGACACACTGGTATTGGTGCAGGTCCATGATACGGTTACTTTCCAGGGGCACGGTAGGGAAATGGGTGAATCCAGGCAGCAGTAGGGATTTCACGCCAATGTTGGGCAGCTTCTAATAAAGACCATGAGATGCACTGTACCTGTAGTGTGGTTTTGCAGCTTTAAGCCAGTCAAGATGCCCTTGACTGGCACGTGGTCAGTTCATATGCTGTATGAATCTGCACGTTTACAAGGACACCTCAGCGGGGCGTGGTAACAGAGGGTCTTGGTCACTGTAAGGTGGCACCCTCCCCCCACCCCCACTCTCTAGCAGCTCCTGCACCAGCCTGGTCAAGAGGAGTGAACATCACATCCCTGGCACCCCCTTCCCACTCCCTCTGGGGCTGAGAAGCTCCATAGTCAAGCATTCTAGCATCAGAAAACCTAAGTAGTTGAGGTGAGCACTCACTGGAGATCCTATCCAGAGTGGTGCCCCTCATTCAGCACAGGATAACAGGGCCTCAGGCTTCCTGTTGAAGGCAGACACATACAGGGGTCAGAGTTGAGTTGGTGCCCCTTGTTCTTGATGCTGAATGTGCCCCACCTGGGAGGATAAGAGACTGGTGGCTGTTTCCCCCCAACCCCCCAGGGTTTCACAGCGAGCATCATGCCCTTACAGGAGGGCACACACCTGTGCCAGCTTACCACTTTCTTTAGTTTTCTAGGACGTTGACAGACTGGCCACGGAGCTCCTGGGTTTATGCTTGAGGTCAGCAAGCACCTGAAAGAAACCTAATGGGATTTTACACAAAATACTCAATTCTCTGGAAGTTTCTTAATTCTCTGGAAATTCTCTGGAATTTCTCTGGAAATTTCACACATTTGGCCTTCTAATGAATTTTCAGGAATGGTTTTGTGTAGAAGGAATTGTGTATAAGCCTTCTCCTGACCTCATGCCTGGCACATCAGACCATGATGAGGAGGGTCAGCTTCCATGCCACACAGGCCTGGGAAAGGACAGGCTGGGCTAGCAGAGGGCTCATTTGTTTGGGTTGTGTCTTTGGTAGTATGACGACTGACAGAATTTTTTTTTAAGATTTATTTATGCATACAAGAACTGGGGTACAGGCCAGAGGTGTGGGGGGTGAGAGGATTCCCCAGAGACAGAGTGGGGAACAGAATAGGCAGATCTACTGAAATACACTGCTGAGGGGAGCAGCGGCGCCATGTGAGTAGCTCCCTGGCTGGGGATAGAACTTGTGCTGCAGTGGCTGCGGATAGCTTCATAGGTTGTGTCTTAACCCTTGCGCCACCAGGGAGGCCCTGAAAGACTTTTTTAAAGACTTTACTTAAGTAACATGTTTGTAAAAATGTTTGTAACACTCTCCCCCAGGGCTTTCTAATCAGCTCGCCTGAGGGTCGTCTGGCTTTCGGGGACTGGAATCGTGTTTGACTAACAATCATTGAGACCCAGATCTGAAAGCATGTATCGGACTTTTGAATAAGGGCTAACTGCTGTCTAGCAATGTGGCGCACAACTGAAGGTGGTGAGCAATTCAGACAATAAGGTGCAAACTTGAAACTATCATTTACTGACGCTGCAGTTGTCCACGGGGGTGGGGTGGGGGGCTGACCCCCCATCCAACACCCACCCTGTTCTGGAAGCCCCAAGGCCTCAGGACCCGTGGAGCTGTGCCCGGTCCTCTCCTCTGTGGTCTCCCTGCTCGCTCCACTGGCAGGCCAGGCCGTCGGGTGTGAGGTTTCTTCCCGGTTCCTGCTCAGGTGACTCCACGCCTGTGTGGTTACAAAGGCAGCTCTGGCGTGTTCCCAGGTTCCCGGGAGGAGAGGGCTTGTCTCCCTTAGAAACGCTCGGGTTCCGCCGGTCACCTGTGTCCAGGGGTGGGGGCCGCGCAGGACGCGGGGCTTAGCGGTGGTTCTGGTCGCCTTTTCTGACCCAGAGCTCGGGGAGAGGAAACCTGGCCCCGCAGTGAGCCCGGAGACCTGGAGCCCAGCCTCAGCGCCGCGGAAGCCCTGCTCGCCTGGGCACCGGTCCTCCCGCTGCTGAGGACGCCAGTGGGCGCGTCGGCCGCTGGTGGCGCCTGCGCAGGCGCGTCTCACGTGTGCTGACGCGGCGGCGCCTGCGTGACGCTGTTCCCGCGCCAGCGCGTGGCGGGCGGATGGCGCGGTGCTGCGACCCGTTCCTCGACGCGGGAGACGGGAGACGTGGCCTGGGGGCCGGACCGCGCGCCCCTGGGCCAGAGCCCGCCCGCTGACTGAAGGGGGGGTGGGAGAGCGAGCCGGGACGGGGCTTCCCGCGCGCACCAGACTTTTACTCAGAAGCGCTGAGAGGGACGCCCTGAGGGCCGTGGCCGGGAAGAACGTGTGCGACGCCAGGGCCTCAGCTGCCCGCGCGGGGGAGCCCGCTGGAGTGGTCGGCGGCTTCGTGGCAGTTACCGGAGCCAGGTAGCCGGCCCGGAGGACGCCGTGCGTTCGGCTCTCGGTGTAGGGAGCTGCTCCGGGCGCTGAGATGCTGTCCCTGCGCCGTCAGGGCCCTGCGCTGTGTTCCCTCAGAAAGCAGACACGGCGAGAGCCTCTCCGTTCTTGGCGGCCAAAGGCCCCGCGCCGCGCGTGAGGGCCGGGAAGTGGCGCGTCCTCACCGCCGGCAAAGGCACGGGCCAGGCCTGGTGCGTGGGCCGGGAAGTGGTCCTGACGGTATGGACGGCTGGAACGGGCCAGCCGGGAGGCGGCATGTGGACGCGTGTGCATCTGGGCCTTGGGATGCCACCAGGGAGCCCGGCTTTTGCCTAAGTGACAGTGTGGCGGGAGCGTCAGAAGGTGCGCTGTGACCCTCCCCAACCCCCTTCCCTGGTTTCCATCTTCAGCGTAACTTTCCGCTGCTTCACGTCCACACTCTTTCCTCAGTTGCACTGAAGTTCGCTGTTCTGGGAGAGTTGTGGAGGGAGGCAGGTCGGGTGCTGTGGCCTTCACCTTGTACTCCCCTTGGAAGGCTTTGCGTTCCATATCTTGAAATTCCATTCCCTTGCCTGGAAAAAAATAATCAAATACACCCCGTAATTCTGTTCCCAGAGAGGCATTCTTGTCCTCATATTGGTCAAAAAGGGACAGGCCTCTGTGGAAGGCCAAACTTACCTCCAGCATGGAATGCCCCTATATTTTAGTAGCTTTGGAATGGATACCTATCGTTTATGCCTTAATTCTCAACATCGAGCTACCTGGAAGAAGCATGTTATCGGGGGTTAAGGGGTCTGAGGAAAGGAATGTGGGCTGGCAGGGAAAATACACAACCATTGCTTGAAATACAACAAAACAGCACGTTCTGTTCTTCATGAGTCATGTTCATATTTGAGGGTGACCATAAGGTGGATGAACAGTGACCCAGGGATGGGCTGTGATACAGCAGAACCCCTAGAGATGCACCTGCCTGTCCCAGCATGCATTCCCCTCACTTGAACGACGCTACCTTGCTCCCATGTCAGCATTTCAAGTGATCGTATTTCTGGTTATCACTGGGTTTAATGAAACATTACCAGAGAAAAGAGAAGTCCCTGATGGGATGTACTTAGATATACTTTGTGGATGCTGCTTGATCTTCTGCAAGAGGTAGTGGGTGATTTAGAGTTTATAAGGGTAGAAAGTAAACCAGACTAGTCACCTCCCTGCTTTCAACTATTAAGATTAATCAAGGGCTTTGCGTTTGGATTTTACATTAGTAAAATAAAATCTCAGCTCTTGGGGCCCTGTAAGGGCCTCTCACCTGGCTGGAGCCCCGCCTGCTCCCCTCCTGCTCCCACTCATTGTGGCCCTATGTTCCTGATGCTGGTTGCCCTCAGCTGTCCTGACTTTTGGTAAATGCTGACTGTTCCCTTACCCTTGCCTCTGGCCCAAGGCAATTTCCTCTCATTCTTTAGGCGAGAGCTTCCTTTCACCTCCTCGGAGAAATCTTCCTGCATGATGCCAAAGTGGCAGCCAGCACCTTGTCTCTTTAAAATACACACACTGTCATCTGCAACTTATTTAATTAACATGTTTGTATATGTTTTGACAAATATTTTAATATATATGAAGCCCACTCATTACACCCTGTGAGGGAGGTGATACAAAATCCCCCTTTACAGGCAGACGTATGGGGTGAAGTCACTTCTTAGGATCACATGGATAGGAAGCAGCTGTGCCCCATTCTTAAATCATAACTCATCCTCATGCTAATTTGCTATTGGTGTGTATGACTCTTCACCAAATTCTGTAACCTTCATTCCCTTCTCCCCTTTTATGTTTTATTGGGTTTGTTGGCTGGTCCCAACAATAATTGGTCCCTGGTCCTCATCTCCCACCTGTAGGATTGCACCGCCCCTGTTGTCCTTATCTCACACCTGGCCCTACAGATGCTTCCCAAATGACCTGCCTCCAGTGGGTCTTCACCCTCGCCCTCAGGCCTGACCATCCACCCCTACAGGTTAGCTTTTGCTTCCTTTCTGCATCTCCAGCACCCAGAGCAACCAGACTTAATGTCTGCTGCTGTTTAGCAGGGATTCTCACTTGCGACCAGGCTGGTGTCGGACTCCCTGTCCCAAACTCACTCTCCTGCCTCTGCCTCCCTCAGGCTGTTGATCCAACATGACTGTACCTGTCAGGCTAAGAAGGGTCCCACAACCAGGAAATATTCAGACACAGTGTGAGCCAGTTGAGTCAGGGCGGTCAGGGAGGAGAGGGACTGCCTGCAGAAGAGATCCCAGGGAAGGAAAGCTTTGAAGTGGCTTTGGAAGCTGTAGGGTAAAGAAAATGTCAGGCTTTCTGCCCTTCCGCCATCAGGATAGATGATGGATCCTTGTCCTGAATGCATGCCTGATGGCGGGCACCTGGAATAGGGTGTGGGCATAGGTAGATGGGATTCAGCTGAGCTAAGACTGTGCTTTTTAAGGGCGGCGTCACGGGGGGGACGCCAGCAGCAGCAGCAGCAGCAAGAAAGCAGCAGCAGAAGCCGAAAGAGAAGTCGAGAAGCAGCAGAACGAACGCTAGAGAGCCCAGATAGAGTGAAGACTTGCTGGGGGCTGGGAGGCCTGCACCCAGCCAGCACCCCTGCCTGCCATATGCCTGGTGAACCCCAATAAAAGACCTGCAAACTACTGAGGACTCTGATTCCTCCTTTACCCGGTCTGCATGGGATCAGGAAAACCTGCACTGTGGCCAGTCCAGCCCTTTACAGAAGCGCACACACATGTGCAGTCACATATGCACACACATAGTCGATGTTTACAAAGTCAGCACTTTAGCCGATGCTGATGGCTCTTATCACACAGTCTACAGTGCTGTTTCCAATTAAGTTTTGTCTCATCTTCTCACACTTGCCTGTTGTTACCCTGTCCCTTATGCTTTAGTTTCACGAACAAGATCTTCACTCCTTGGAATACAGGGAGCGTATCTCTCTTCGCCTCTACCTCTCCTGCGTTCTTTGCGGAACTCAGAATAACTGTGTAATAAAACTGGTTGGCTTCATTAGTAAGGGCGCAGCAGATGGCAGGTGCCTTTGTAGGTGGACCTTAACACTTAATCTCTTATCTCCCTACTTTGAACTTAAGTTTCTTGGGAGTTTAGATTTCACAGTAACTGAACAAACTTAAATATCTAATCTTCATGATGCTAGAACTCTGGGACTGCTTCTCTGTGTCGTTTGATATCTTTGTGCTTAAATGTTTGGCTTCTGTGTGAAACACTACATCACTTAAGGCATGTATGTTGCTGTGTGTCTTCTTGAGTTTGAGTTTGAAAGCATTGTCCTTCAGCTGAATGGGGAAATCACTTTCTGAACGGTTTGTCTGAATACTGCATTATAGAGAATGCTTATCAGCATTTACTTAAAAGACTTTCAACCCAAATCTTGCTGAATAGGAAACTGGCTGGGGCGAAGAGAATAGAACTGAGTTCTTGGGAGTCCAGCGCACCTTTTCCTATCAGTCTGTTCCAGACCTTTGCTTTCTCCACCTTTGAACAACTTTTTTTTTTTTTTTTTTTTTTTTTGTGGGACCTTACCGGCTGCCCGGCAACAAACCGGTGCTGCAGAGGCTGCGGGCAGCCTCGCAGCCCAGCGCTCAACCGCTGCGCCACCCACCAGGGGAGGCCCACTTTTGAACAACTTTACAAACCCTTACTCTCATGAGATGATTTTTTCAGTCTTAAGAAGGTTAGGGCTGGGCCTCCCCGGTGGCGCAGCGGTTGAGCGCTGGGTTGCGAAGCTGCCCGCGGCCTCTGCAGCGCCGGTTCGATCCCTGGCTGCTCCCCGGCCACTGGAGGAGGGTCCCACATGGCGCACAGACCTCTCCTGCCGCCCGCTGCTCCCCTCAGCAGTGTACTTCGGTCCTTCTGCCTGCTCTGCTCCCCGCTCTGGCTCTGGTGAATTCTCTCACCCTCCCGCGCTTCTGACTGTACCCAGTGCATGTATAAACAAAAAAACAAACAAAATAAATAAATAAAACATGCCTCTATAAAAAAAAAAAAAAGAAAAAAAAGATAAAATAGTATGATATTTAAAAAAAAAAAAAAGGTTAGGGCTGTGAGTGCTTATTATTTTTTCTCTTATACCTCTGGTTTCTCTTCACTTTCCTTGTCTGTGGGGTAGGGGGGTGGGAGGAGCACAGGAATCTGTTTGGCTTTGGTTTCTGACAGTCATTGGCCTCCCCCCCCCCCCGCCCCCGCCCCCCAAGTCTTCCTAACACTCCTTTCACTACTTGGGCCCTTCCCAGCAGTCATTCTCGTGTTGGCAGTTGCTCTTAATCCCACTGTGACACCCCCTTCCCTTCTGCTTGTGATCCACCTGTGTCTCTCAAATTGCCCCCCTGCCCTAGACATCCCTGTCTGCAGACCCACCCTTCTCCATCCTGTGCACCAGGTAGAACACAAAGAATGCTGAATGATTTCCAGAGATTTCAGGGGTTCCTTAACATGTCCAGAATTTAGCCCTAATCTCCTAAAACCATGTCCTTCTACAGGGTCCCCAGACAAGAATTCCTTGTCTCTGCCTTCCTATAGCCCTAATTTTTCTTTCTGACCCACTTGGGCAACTTGTTCATGAATCAGTTCTGCTCATGTTTTTCCCTTATGAAGAGCTTCCCATATTCATTCTTGAGAAACTTGACTCAAGTTCTCCTTTCTCCTGAAGCTTTTTCAGAATCCACAGGGCTTAGTTTATAATTGTCTTGGAATTCTGCACAGATCTGCCTTAATGTATGATTTCCTTCATGGTTCCCTAAGTGCTGTCTCAGGTTAACAGGATGGCTAGTGAAGTCTGAGCGATGCCCAGTATATGGGGCCACCATCTGCATGGCCTTTGCCCCCCTGCGTAAGATGTATCCCTGAATCAAGTGCACAGGAAGGAGGGTAGCTTTGATTGGTTTACACCTGTGTTTCCCAAACTAACTTACCTTAGAAAAATTTTTTTTCTTACAAAAAAATGAAACACCCAATGCAAAACATTTTGGGGAGATATTTCCAAAATACTGGAAAAATGACATTTCCTGTAGGCATGTCTAAGTATGTTGAGAACTTCAGACTTCGCTTCTTTTGCTGCCTCCACACTCCTCAGATGCTTAGCGTGTATCGGATGAAGTCACACTGCAAGATCAAGAATTGATATTCCTTTGGAGACCTGAGTTAGGTCTATTTAAAGAAAAGCTGATCTGCTGTGGCTTGTAGCTGCAGTGTGTGGTGGGTTCTTAGTGCTGGGCACTGCTGAGCCATTGCCTGGTGCATTTAAATGGGTATAGTTAAGGAGGAATTTTTCCCAGGTGTTGAATAGGGTGTGCATATTTTCCCAGTGATTGTGTGTGTCTGTGAGTGTTTAAATACTCCAGAAAAGGAAAATTGGGCAAAAGCAACTTGGTTTTGTATTTTCTACCATCTTAAAATCTTTTTGCAATTTTTGTTTTTATCGATAAGAAAATGATGAAAATTTAAACCCAGGTTTATTAAGAAACATAGCGCCAGATAAACTGGTGATAGGTGGTGCTGGTAGTAAGTAGACTACAAAACACAGCATTTAGAAGTAAGGATTTCCACTGGGCTTGTTGATTATGCATGTACGTAAACCTTTATAAGCACAGGTGACACGGGCATGAATACTCAACAAGAGTCTTCCTTGCGGTTCTGATGCAAACCAAGCTGCTTCCCGAAATCAGCAAAAGTTTAGCTAAGCGGGTGCGATGGAATGGAATGGAACCCTTTTCCCAAACTTCCCAGGCCAGGTACAGTTGATTTCTTCGCCAGATGGGAAGAAATCCAGCTTCCTTGGAGTGATGTGCATTTGGTGGGGGATTCACTCTAAGAGTTAACTGCCAGAATTCTGAGTCTCTTGAATTCTATTTAAATTCTTTTTTCTTCTCTCTTCATTTTAGGCTCCAATCAGGGATGGAGACACCATTGGATGTCCTGTCCAGGGCCGCCTCTTTGGTGCATGCTGATGATGAAAAACGTAAGTTGGGCACTTGAGTGCTTTTTCACCTGTGCCTGCACCCCTCGCCTCCCACACTGTAACAAAATGATGTGTTGCTTGACCTGACTTTGTGGCTCTGTGCCATTGATTTTGGGTACTTCCCCCAGAGGTAACAGCTGGGCATCCTTATTTTTATTTTTAAGTGCCAGAACATGTAAGTCTGTAAACATCACCTGTGGGTAGTGAGGCTTGTGCTCTTAACTCCAGGATGTCCTTCCCCTGGCAGCTTGTGCTGGTGGATCCTGAATGCAGGTCCCTGATGTGTCTCTGGAAGTTTAAATAGATATGTCCTGGTGGATAGCAGAAAACTCAAGATAATCATCCAAGAATATTCTTGTTACAGGGAATGTGTAATGGCTGTCATGGAACACATCCCTGAGAACCATTTCTGCTGAGAGAGAGCAGATGTCGTGCGGGGTGGGGGGAACATAACACTGATGGGGTCACTGACCTTGGAAGGTCACCCCACAGGTATTAGGGTGGTGCTCCTGGCCTTAGTCTTAGGTGTATTTATTTTTCGGTGTTCTCTTTCAAGATTCAAATTGCTTGCAAGAGTGACTATTTTATGTGGGAACAAAATTGATGTTTTTTCTCTGAGCTCTGAGATACTAGTAACGTATATATAAGGATGAGCTTTTTTTTTTTTTTTTAAATACATTCTAAGTGAAGATGAGCTACTTTTCAGATTTTGAATAATTGGCAGGCAGGAAAGCGTGTACCCTGACGCTGTAAGGCTTCCCTTTCTACTCATCGGTCAGATTCATTTCTCTGATATCCTTTTCCTCCTTAGTTGCATGAAATAACACCTGCTTAGCTGTCTCTGACTCGATAGACTCAGCTTCTGTGTCATCAGCCCATTCCCCCCTTCTCCCTATTCCCCACTGGGCGGGCCGGCTGACTACTGCACTTATTTTTTCTCCTGCCAGTCTTACTTATTTCTTTAGCTTTTGGTTGGTGGGAGGCTGTACTCTTTCCTACGGCAAGCAAATCGCAGGCAGGTTGCCGTCTTCCCAAGGACACTGAGCTCCCAAAAGGCGGCTCAGTCAATGGGCTTTAACTAAACACCAAAACATTGCCTTTCTGCCTTTAAGATTGCAGTACATGTTATGAGGTGAATAGCTAGATATAAACGCTGTTCAACGTTCATACAGTTAATTTACATAGAAGTTTATATAAATGACAGTATTTCGAATTTCTCTGTTTTGTAATGCCCACGTTTACTTAGATCAGAAAAAGAAAACACTGTTAATACAAATGAAAACTAGAAGGGATGGCCTCCGGGCCAAGTCTCTCTGCTACCTCTGTTGCCTTCTGGGGGGTTTCTCTCTAGGAGCTCAGCTTCAGGGTCCCCCTGTTGGGCTGACCCCAGCAGGTTGGGGGCCTGCGTGGATTCCCACCCGGTGACCCTTCTGAGTGAGGGGTAAACACAGAAAAACAAGGACCAGTCCCCTGCCTTCAGGGAGCTCTTGAGCTGCTTTGTGAATAGATTCATTTCTCTATAAAACATGGAACAGGAGAGCCTGTGGCCTCCTGGGGAGCCTGCAGTTGGGGAGAGCTGTTTTCATAGAAATAGTATGATCCTGCCCAGAGGAAAGAGGAGCTCTTACCTTCCTTGAGTTGGATGCAGCCTTTAGTATTTTTTTTTTTAAAGATTTATTTATTTATGTGTGTAAAACTGGGGTGTACGCCAGAGGTGTGAGGGGTGAGGATTCCCCAGAGACAGAGTAGGGAGCAGAACAGGCAGATCTACTAAAATACACCGCTGAGGGGAGCAGCGGGCGAGACAGGAGAGGGCTGCTGCCCCATGTGGTTTAGCTCCCTGACGGGGATCGAACTCATACTGCAGTGGCTGGAGATAGCTTGATAGCTCTGTGTCTTTAACCCCGGCACTGCCAGGGAGGCCCCAGCGTTTAGTATTTTGAAAATAGGATTTATATACCTGTAAGACCAGAACCATCACAGTCGCCGGGTGCTGTACTTTGTTACCTGGAGACAAAGCTGAGCAGCAAGTACCAAGTCTCTCGTTATTTCTTAAGACCTATCTGGGCTTTTTCAGCCTGATTCAGCTTTCTCTGCCCCAGATGCATTGTGCTTTAGCTTTTGTTATAAATTGCTCTTACACTTAACATTCTCACCAACACTCTAAAAATGTTTTGTGTATGTAATCTGATTTGGATATCTTATTACAAACAGAAAAATGTTCTACTACTTGAGATCAGTTTCCCAACTCATGTCAGTGACCTAAATGACTCTCCTTGTGCTCCTGGAGAATGGGAAATGTGGGCATTTTGGAAGATGTTATTGTTTCAGCGTTTTGAAGGGAACAGAACCTAGTAGGATTTGAGCATATAATCCCCAAGGGCCTTAGGCTTCACTGTGTCTGTAGTGGAGGATAGAAGAGTTATCTCTATAGGACACTGTGGTGCTGCAGTCAATAGTGAAACGTGGTTTTGTAGTCACACAATAGTTACTTATCTGGATGGCCTAGAAGGAATAAACTTGCTTAAAATAATTATTCCTGTGCCCAGGAGACTAGACTGGATCATTGTTCAGGGGAGTCCTGGAAGGTACCTGATGGAAAGATGTGTGAGCTGCTGGTGCTCCTGGGGCTGAGGAACCTCTCATCTCCCTGGTCATTGATGCTGGTTTGGTGAAGACCCAGCCTTTCTCCAAGACTGTTTTTTTAACAGTCAAACTGGGCCAGTTTCCGCACAAACCCTTGGTGCATCTTTAACAGGATACTTACTTTTACTGTGATGTTAAAAGGTTTCATTTTTGGTAATTTCGTTCTTGTAGCTTCTGATGAGATCTCCTGCATTGGGGCTGACTTCCTCGTTCAGGTTAAAATCATTTTAAGAGCACTGCCTTGAGAAGGGTCTCAAATGCACCCCACATGCTCATGATTGAGATTACAGACATCTTTGAACTTTTTCCTCTCCTTGGTTTTGAAGGTTTGGGTAGAGGGGGCAGTACTTTCGATCTGGTGTGATGAATGTGCTCGTGATTAGAAAAAGCCAGATGAAGCTGGTGCGAGTGGTGTAGAGAGAAGAGCTAGAAGGCAGCGCTGCAGGTGGTGGTTCCTGTCCTCCACCCTGGACACGCCTCCTTGGCTTTTTAGTGAAGACCATTGAAAGTTGACTCATGGGGGAGGCATAAATTAACATAATCCTTCCGAATGAAGCATTCCTAGGATTGCTTAGGAAGTTTAGGAATTCTTAAGCCTTTATTTTGCAGACCCAAATGTGTGGGATATTTTTATGGATATAGGAAGCCCATTGTTTAATAATCAGTTGCTGTCACACAGTTTTTTCAGGTTTTTTTTTCCTCCAAGGTCATATTCACCTTTTGTCAGCCTTTGCATCAATAATGCAAACCAGGTGCTTTGTGCTTGGGTTCTGGTGCTTTCACCTGCACTTGGCTCTGCGGGAGTAGGCAGGCGGGCATACTCAGGCTTTTATTTTTTCTCTTTCTTCTCTTTCCTCCCAGCATCTGATACAGTGGCTTTCAGAGTAGACCATGGCACAGAGTGAAAGCGTATTGAAACCGTTGGGTTCATGTAGCAAAGCAACTGATACCAAAGCTTCATGAAGCAGCACTTATCCAGCTTTGCAAAGTGTAACTTGATATGCTGGCATTATTCTTTGTATTTTACTTCATCTAAGTAACAGTTGGGTCATGACTCATTGGCTTGATTTTAGTATCCACAAATGAATCAGGACTTGCAGTAGAAACAAAAATGATGATTTGCTTCTCTTCTCCTTAGTTGGATAAATTTACTCCTGGCTGCTGCATTTATGGGCTAGGGGGATTTGACTAACATGTGGGTCATGAAAATACAGTGGTGTTCAGACCTGCTGGGATATGTGTCAGTGACTGGAGAGGAATGATGTCATACTATTCTCTCACAGAAGCTCCCCACTCTCCAGCACCCACCCACTAGAGGTGGCTCCACTCCATTCTGAGCCTGTGTTGTTCATTCCTGGTAGTTAGAGTCAGAGCTCAAGAAAACGGTCTCTCCACCTTGTGTTAAATCTGTTTAGCTTCCAGGTTACTTCAAGGGTGCTCCTAGCTGTACCATACTTGTGTCCAGTCCTGCCTGGCAGAGCTGAATGACAGGACTGAGTGATCTCACCATCGGTGGCCTTATTTTATGGCTTCCATCATTGTATTCGTGATTTTTATCCTTTATCCTAAAACACTCAAGAGGGATACTGTGCATTTCCAACCATGCCCGAGGCATGGATGTGGCAGCAGTTCCCAAAGAGAGGAGGAACTGGTAAGCATGCTGAGAACATTGTCCCAGGTGATGCAGATGGTGGTGGTGGTGGGGGGTCCCTTCCTCCAGATGAGTCACTGGTCTGGGTCTGCATCTGTCTCTGAGGAGGGGCTGGTCCTTTCAGGTATGAGAAACTAAGTCCTTGGCTGTTGTGTATCCTTTAACCAGATTCATAAGTTATTTATTTTCTTCCCATTTCTCTTATCATTCATTTTCTCCCCCATATATATTTATGTAAAACACATATATGTGTGTATGTGTGAACAAATGTGTTTGTTTTCCCTAAAACATTTGAGAGTAAGAAAGAGACATTCTGCTTCTTGACTCCTAAAATGTTTTGGCATGTATTTCCTACAAATGAGAAATTCTTACATAATCACAATATGGTTATATTTAGTATATATAAATATATAGACACATAAAGCTGGGCATAAAATCTTGATGCTCATAGTTCTTTTGCAACTTCATAGCCAGAACGTGAGCCTGTAATTGAAGTTTCACCAGTAGAAGTTAGCCAGGACATGCACTGTGACCCCTGCCACACCTGCCTGCAGGTGAGCAACGTGGCTTCAGTTCTCCTGCTGCCCCATGTCCTTTGATGCAGCCCTCTCCCCACCCTTTTATCTTTGCAAACTCTGTAAAATAATTTGTTGTACAGACTAGGGTGGCATATGTTGGTGCGGATGTCTCAATCACATATTAG